ATTTATATATGCATTTGCATATGTATATATATATATATGTGTGTGTACATACATGCAGACATATTCATACGTACTCGTACATGTTGACATTCGTATAAAAAATTGATATATGTATACGTATATATGTATGTGTGTTCCTTTGTGCGCGCATATATATATATGTGTGTGTGTGTGCGTGCGTGTGTGTGTGTGTGCGTGCGTGTGTGTGTGTGTTGTATAATATTGTGTGTATGAATGGATGTATATATATTATTAATACAATTATTTTTGTAGTATTATAATTGTTATCATATATATATATGTGGGTGGGTGGGTGTGGGTGTGGGTGTATGTTTATGTTTTGTGTACTTGCGGATATTGTGTTGGTGCGCTCGTGTGTGCATTTGAGGGTGGGCGGGTGTATTGCTCTCTGTATTATATATATAATATAGCTATGTAGCTATGTAGAGAACTTCACATATACTATGTTCCTGTCGTCGCCTGTACTTCAGGACTGGGCAGAGAGCTTGCTCGACAACTATCTCGCCAAGGGGCTAAGCTCATTATCTCATCGCGAAGAGCCGATGTGTTGGAGGAGGTGAAGCAGGAGTGTCTAGCGATCAACCCAGAGACACAAGTACACGTGCTCATAGTCGATCTAGAGGACCTGGACAGCTTAGACGGGAGGGCGAAACAGGCCTTGGCCTTCTTTGGCAACAAAATAGATGTGCTTATCAACAATGGGGGTGTTTCCACGAGATCGAGCGCCCGAGACGCGGCCTATGACGTGACAATGAAGCTGACCAAAGTAGACTTCCTCAGCTGCGTTAAGCTGGCCAAAGCAGTGCTCCCGTCGATGACGGAGTGCGTGCAAGACAGCCCTGATAGTCCCAGCGTGCCCAGAGGTGGCCATATTGTGAACATAAGCTCCGTAGCGGGTAAGGCCGGGGTTGTTCTACGCACAGCCTATTGTGGGGCAAAGTTCGCGCTAATTGGTTGGTTCGATGCGCTGCGAGTGGAAGAGCACGTGTTCGGCTCCGGAGTACGGGTGACGAATGTTTGCCCAGGATCAGTACAGGTAGGTGGCAAGTGATCTACTCCGGTATGTGTGATGTGCGTACGGATCTTGGTCACAATAGCCAACAGAGTTTAGTTCTGCTGCCTATAAGCTCATCTGAAGTACCTATTATGCTTCCATCGATATTTAGATATTTTTCGTGTCATTTGTATATGTAGGGGGGGGTGCGCTTATGACCAGGAATATTGTCGCCAAATACATCTAAGCGAGTGAACTCATGGGTGTACTCACTTGTAGTTTATCTGAAACTACTTGACATAAATAGCAAGGAATTAACTTCTGTTCTAGAGCATGCATGCGATAAATTGGATGCTTCGCTATTCAATATAGGGTGGGACCTGGTTCTCGGCTGATGCCTGACATGTGCCATCTCCGTAGTGAACAACATGTAGCTTCCCAAATAAGGATTCTCATATATAGTCAAGCAAAGTATTTGGACACTCAGAGTCTTGTCACTTCGGGATACGCACCTATCAGATGGTCAAGTAGTGTTAGCTTGCTGTGATCTTCATTGTGAGCAAGCCCCATGCAAACAATTGCTATTGGAGTTGTGGCTACCAACGCACTGCCACTCGGGCAAACATTGTATTGTTTACCTTTGCGCTCTCAGCCGACTTTCATTTGCAGCAATATATATATATATATATATCACAACATATGTATGTATGTATGTATGTATGTATGTATGTATGTAT